GGAGGAGAGGAGGAAGGAATTGCAAAGGAGTCCAAGGAAACCTTGGGATAACAGATGTGTTCAATCTCTTGATTGTGGTGATAGTTTCACAAGTATGTGCATATGTCTACACTTACCAAATCATACACTTTGAATATGTGCAGTTTTTTTATGTCATTTATGCATCCATAACAGAAGAGGTTTTTTTAAGAAAAAAAGAATTGCACCCCAACAGCTTAGGAATTCGTTTTCTTATAAATATATGTATATGCTCTCAGTAAGCCAAATAAATTGACCTATTGGATGCATTAAAAATGACCATTTATAGCAACTAGAGTCAATAATTTTTTAATAACTATGTATGGTGTCAGAAGGGTACTAGACTTAACTGGGATGATAGATGGGAGGTGGGTTGGGGTCAGGGTGAAAAAGTGAAGAGATTTAGAAACACATTGGTAGTTAGAAAATAGTCATGGGATGTAAACTATAGGGAATGTAATCGATAATAAGGTAATAACTATGTATAGTGCCAGGTGGGGACTAGACTAGTCAGGGGGATCACTTTGTAAGTTATATTAATGTCCAACCACTACACTGTACACCTGAAACTAATATAATATTGAATGTCAACTGTAACTGAAAATTAAAAATAAACTTTTTAATGACCATTTAAATGTTGGTGAATCACCTGCTAAAGTCATTTCAGTGTTGATATCATTGTTATGGAACTACTTAATATGAAACCATCTGGTCCCAATTTTTCTTGTCAAAGAAGAGTCTTTGACAAGCCTCTTCTTGTCAAAGACTATGCCATTAGTATTAAGAACAATTGTCTTTCTATTTATTGTAGCAAAAAGCACATTGAGTTTACCTAAAAGCTGTTATAGTGACACTGACATTAACTAAGAGTTTCTGACAAACCCCTGGGCCAGCCAGGACATACACTGGCCTTACCAAGTTGTAAACATATTGTTTCTAAAGAATATAGCCTTATGTGAATCATTTATGACAACTTTTAAGTTTAGTAAGTTCCAAAAAAAATCAAGCATGAGATATGGATTAAAATTATAGCTTTTGGTTCTTAGATATTTGTGTGTATTTAATTATAGGCCAGTGATAGATTTTTTTATATGAGGCGGATTAGGTTATAATAGTGATCGGTCGTAGATAACTGTGCCCCATACTATGTGTTTTAGAAATTTATTGAAAGCAAGCAGACAGAATATCTACTTGATAATTGGTGGCAATAAAGAATTTTCTACCCACCCATCCCACCAAAAAAAATTGTCTTTGTAGTAAGACTGCATTTCAGCCCAGCCTTAGGAAACTATATGTATAGCAGTAGGTAGGGTCAATTACTGAGTGGGAAAGATTATGGATAATTTTCCTAAAAAGGCAGTTATCTTCTCATTGGGACAATTTTAACTGTATGTGATGTTTTCAAGCATTTTAAAGGTGTTACAGTGGCTGTCATATAGCGGTCCGTGGGAGACAGTCCTCCGTGGGACAGACCGCAGATCTGCATGAAGATGGCAATACTGCCTTTAAACTTGCTTTCTTACCACTGAACCTACAAAGCCTTCTGTGCGGGTACATTTTAATCTGACAGAACTGTTTTAGGAGTAGGTGGTTTGTAGATATAGTCTTATGTGGCTCCAATGGAGTTCCATGAGAATTTTTTCTTTTGCTCTGTGTTATATATCAATGTTTATGAACTAAGAGACCAGATGACTAATTGTACTGTGTCACACATGGGTGATCAAAGTTTGTCTTAGCCCTCTGTGAACTTGTGATTCAGAGGGAATCTTTTCAAAAATTGTGGATAGGGCACAGTTGCGCCCTTAAACCTCAATATTCTAATATAGAAATGGGGCGAACACCGCTGCACCCGCACCTGCGCTTCATCATCTCACCGTTCTATCTCGTCATCACAGTGAGTTATGATTCATCTGAAAGATGAAGGGATAAGTGGTTATTTTCAACATAGGCTAGTATTTTTGAACTCTAGAGTAGAGGTAGAATGATGAAAAGCTGAATAGCAAGTAGTTCCCATAGGCTTATCGTAAGTTTTGACAAAATTTAACATCTTCAGGTCGCCGTGATAAATGAGTGGGGTCAAATTATGTTCATTTGGGCTCAAGCAGGATGGTATCGTGAAAAGAACTTTACAGGCAGACAGACCTGAATTAAAACTCAGCTCTCCTACTCACCAGCTTTGTGACCTTGGACATATTACTTAACCTTTCTGAGCCTTAGTTTGCTCATCTATAAAATAGGGTTAATAATAGCTGTTTCTCAGGACTTTTATCATGATTAAGTAAGCTAATGTATGTGAAGTCCTAGGTCTATGCTTGGTATATGTTGGTGGTGGTCATGACACAGGCATTTACAAGTAGGGGTTGTGTGGCAGCGCTGTGCGAGGCCCGAGGTTACAGCCAGCACCAAACGTAGTCCCCAGGGAGTTTTCAGGCTGATGAGATTAGTCAAGCGGTTGTTCCAGGTGAAATAGTTGGTGGGGAAATAGACTGACTCTCGGTGGCATCTCTTATGTGAAGACACCAGCAATGCCCTGGACGGTCCTGGTGTTTGTCCCAGAATTCCTCTCCCAAAAGGGGAAACTACGGTTTGCTGATTGCTTATTACGCGACAGGCACCGTGCCAGGCCTTTTACAGCCTCATTTCCCCCTATAATAACCCTATGAAACGGTGCTGACTCACATTTCACAAATGGCCAAGATCACTTAACTAAGTGACAGACCCAGCTTCAAACCCAAGTCAGTCGGCCTGCAAATTGTCACTCTGTCCCACTCCCACGACTGTAGCAGTTGAACAATGTGTGACTGTAACATGAAAAACACTCTTGAATGAAGCCATAACCCTGCAATGCGGCCTGAGGAGATTTCTCACAGGAGTGCTCGGAGGTGGGGAAGGAGGGGGCACTTTTTACAGGGCTTTGGCAGCGGGGGTCAGCCAGAGTTTAGCTTGTGTCAAAAAGAAAATTACTCCTGTGGACTAGCCACCATTGTTCAGGCAATTCGGCTCTATCAAGATGGGTGGAGAGGGAATTAGGGGCTAAGGTCATGGGCAAGAAGAGATGAGGCACCAGGACAGGTGAGGCCCTAGGGCTACAGCGGGACAGTTTTGGTCCTTCGGGGTCTCTTGTACCAGCATCTGAGTTTCTTAATCCAGATGCAAAGGTTCAAAAATAAGGGTCCCTGCCTGTGCTTCTGCCCACTGCTACGCAGCAGCCTGTGTCTGGGGATGTCATTTAGGGTTGTGTAACGTCACCACCAGTGTGGTGTTTGCGGTCACGGTGCTTAATGAAAAACGCCCTGACCTTGAAGCTGGAAAACACGGACAATCACATAACCTGTCTGAGCCTGTCCCCTTTATGTGGCTGGGATTAGCTGATGAGAACGCAGTTTGTAGGAAGTCAAAGCACTAGTTAAATATTAAGTACAATGCTGATACTACCAAGATGAGGTTGTGGGCTAAGAGTCCTGCAGTGGGGAGATTATGGACTGCCTGATATATTTCTTCAGAAGAAGAGGTTAGAGAGTCAGGGAGGTGCAGAAAGCGGCAGAAACTTATGTAGAGGGGGAAAAAACCTCTCAGTAGAGAGAGTGGTGGTAGATTTCTGTCGGGAAGGACCTGACAGCAGCTAATTTCTTTTTGCTTTCCTGATAAAACAGAAGAATGGAGAATATTACAGAAAAAAACAATCCTTTTAGAGACCCCAGGAGATGGATTCCTTTGTTTCAAACTGCCATTGAGGTAGGCAGACAGGACAGAGATTCCAGTGGCGTTACTGTGCCTTAACACAGTAGCATTACAGAGAAATGCAGGGCCGTCTGGTTTGTAACAAAAGTGAGTTTTATGGAGCGTATACCTTTAAGGTCCTTGTGTTTGAATTCCTATTCTCTCTCAAATATTCCTGATCTATTAATGATCTGTTTAAATTACTGTAAGTTGTACTTAATTTGAATTAAACCCACCCTAAATTTAAAAAGTGTGACTCTCTGGAGGTCTTAATTAAATTCATTTTTCAGTTGTGGCCCTTAGTTACAAGGACTTTTCAACTATGTGGTGTCGTGTGCCGCTGATGAGATATTAGGATCACACCATCAAATTCCATTTTTGTTTTTAGCTTTTAAACATATTTATTTGAAGTCTAATTTACTATTGTTTAGTTTCCAAAGAAGATTTTGATTTTTCTCACATTGAATAGTTAAATATATAGTAATTAAACAAACTTAGTTTTCATTTTTACAAATGCATTATTCATCAAGGTTTGGTTTCTCTGTAGCTGAAAATATAGCTAATTATTTACTAAACAAATGTAAATTTCCATTTGGTGGATTTTCTTCAAAAGGGTTCCAACCCCTGGATGATTTTCTTATGCAATCAGCATGCTTTTCTGAATTGCTTCTTCTGTCATCAAGTAGTAATAGTCAGGGAAATGTTATAGTAGTCTAAATAAAGCATAGAAAAGTGCAAATTTCCTGAATTAAAGTAAAAAACAAACTTTATAACCATGAATCAAGTAGGTTAATTAATTCTATTTTATATGTTTGATCGCAAAAGTATGTGATTTCATCATTAGTATATAAAAATATGTACGTCTCCACAGGTATGCCTGAGTGTTGCATTTCATGCCAGCCACCCAGACTCAGCAAGTATGGTCATTTCTTCAGTTCTAATCAAGGCCAAAAAATCCCAACAAACAGCTAGCCTTACAGAATGAGAGTGGAGTGCACTACCGCATAAACTGTTGTCATTGTTGTTATCTGCTCTGAACTTTATCTTATATTACCTGTGACTATAACCTCACCAAAGTCTGTTCTCAAGGGGTCTTATATTTTATGTAGAAAAAAATAGGAAAACCAAACTGAAATCTTTCCAGAAATAATACTGCAAAATAATGTGTTGTTTCACGTTAATTATCCATGTATAGTTCCATAAAGCATATGTTCGTTTTAATGTCAATAGTTGTCGATCTAAGACGACTTTTCTTCTGTTAGGTTTGCTATGTCTTTGGCTGACACAACAAAAACCTACGTAGATGAGCATTTCCCCAGCGTGGCCTTAGAAAACCACAGGACGTCAGCAGCGAGCAGGAGCAGCCCGAGCACAGCCAATCTTGCAAGGAACAGTAGCGCTTCCGATAGGAGTGTCGATTACAGCAAATCTCAGTGTTCCTGCGAGAGTTTTGATTCTCACCATGATTATTCAGAAGAATTCGTCTCAGAGTATTCAGAAACAGCTGTTAATAGAACTTGTTTAGAGAAGCCTGTGGTGAAAGAAAAAAAGGAGGGGAAGAAAAAATGCAATGTTTATAAAATCTCCCAACCTAAAGGTAAGAAACAAAATTTCCCACCCAAGACCAAATTTCTGGTTACAGTGACTTTAGTATTTAATGCACTGGTATTTGAAAGGGCCCATATTAGGAAATAGAGAAATTGAGACTAATTACAAGATAACAGAAAGTTGGGCTTAAAATGTCAAGCCCAGCCGTCGTGCATGGCTTCCCCTGCTGGAGCTGACTGGTGAGGTTGGTTCCGTTTTTAGTCAACAGGTGGCCTGGTTACAGAGTACCGCAGTGCTCGGATCTCATGGGCTTCTTGCCTTTTATCCCAGCGGAAGAATCATGCTTTGGATCGTCAATGAAATGTAAATTCCTGTCTCAACACCCCAAGAAGATGGTCTCCACGTCCGGTGAGGCATATCGGCAAAGATAACCTTTTGAACCAGGGGTGGTTCGAAAGGCTGTGGATAATGTTACTTCCTTGGAGATTTTTAGATGTGCCAACACCATCAACTGCTACTGTCCGATTGGAATGAGCCTTGTGTTGGCCTCGATCCCCTCACTCTCTGCCTCCCCACCCAGACGGTGACGACTTCCTCCCATTTTAGGCAATCCTGATGTTAGAATAGCTGGGGCTGTTTTCCATGGTGACCACCAGAGCTGCCAGCAGTCACTAGATCGAAAATAGTTCAGAGCCTGTGCATGGAGGGGACATCTAACTGTCACTCTTACCGATGATCTCGCACCCCAGCCTCACTAGGACCCCCTGGGCCACTTCTGGGTTATCTAGAATCTTGGATGCATCTTCCACTCCAATTTTATGTCCCTGAGGATCCTTGCACCAGTGTATCAAGAACTTAAACCTCCTTGTAACATCAAGTTCTGTCACAGAGTGATAAACTATTTCCTAGGCTTACCCTTTGATTCTTTTGTTCCCTTACAGTTCATGTTTTGCAAATGTTTCCCAAAGAAAGTTAAGTAGCAAGTAATTATAATTCGAACCCAAAGCAAAGAGGCTTAATGTTTTAGCCAGTGTAGCCCTTCTCAAGTTAATGTTCAATGTCTGTTCAACTTTCTCATCTACTGAAAGTAGACCTCTGACCTCAGGGGCTGGGAACACTGGGTCAGAAACTGTTGGGTTGTCGGAAAAGTCATGATGTGTTTTTTCTATGTTTTTCGTTGCAAAAATGCATCATGACTTTTCCGACAACCCAATACCAATACACACCCAGGATTCACTAAAGAATAATAACATCAGAGATCACTTTCAGTTCACATCTTAGAAAAGCAAATTTATGGCAGAAAACTATTTCATAGAGAAAAAGTATGAGCATGAAATGAGGACCTCAATTCGATAGGATTTTTGCTTTGGTCAAGTATTGGAGATTAACTTAAATCAATGTAAACAGCAAGCAATTTATTTCTACAATGTGGTTGTCAAATATTGGTCATTTCCTTCTTTTGTAGAAAAATGTCCTTTCAGAACTCTTTCAATTATATATCCTTCTTTGATGTGTTTTGTCAACACAATGCCAAAACGTGTGATAGTCATTCAAAAAACTGGTATACCAGAAAGAAGGTACTGTACTGCCTTCAACCCTGGGACACCTTTTGCCCTGTTGTCTTCAGTTGGAGGTGGAAGACCTAAATTAGTGTTGAGGAGACACCCTCTCCGACAGACAGGCATGGGAGTGTGGAGAACAGAAAGGGAACACGCCCTTCCTCTGACCTTGTCACCCTGGTCCTTGGAAGTGGGCCTTATCTATTAAGGTGAAATACAGTATAGACCTGGGAGAGAGGGAGAGGGAGAGGGAGGGAAGGAAGGAGGGAAGGAGAGAGAGAGAGCCAGCCTGGTGGAGGGCAGAGCCAGCAGGAGCAAGTGAGAACCAGACTGAGGGCGTGAAGGGTGAGCGAATGGAAAAGGACAGTGAAACTAAAGGGGAGCCTGACCAGGAGAGGGAACTGGATGAGACCCAGGAGGACTGGGAGGGGAGGAGCATGGCAGACAAGTGCGCTAGGAGGACAGGAGCCTTTTCAAACGAGGGTGTCGGGGTGAGGGCGACCCTGGGGACATGGACCTAGGAAGGAGGGGGCTGGGGCCGGTGAAATGTGAATACAGTGACCACTGACATTCTTGGGACTGGCCAGCAGAGCACGCTGCATTCTAAGCAATGTGAAGCGTGCCTTTTTGGTTAACTATGGACTTAAATGTGTATGTTTTTGGTGAATTAACTTAATCTGAGTACGTGTTTTAGCTCAGTGGTTTAAAAATTAAGTAGCCTAAGAGTAGTTTAATCATTCAGCTAAATCTGCCTTAGTTGTGTGAAATGGGATAGAAATGATAAGTTTTATCATTCTTATTATGTGTAGGTTAGGATAATGAACTATAAAACCATTAGAGATTAAACCTTATTTCAGTTTTCTATAAGCTTCATAGTTATGCAAGTTTGCATGAAGTTTGCAGGAATTTGTTCTCTATCACTCAAATGCCAAGTGGTATATCTACCTTCCTGAAGCAAACTGGCTGTCCTGTCCCACCCAGCCACCCACTAAGGCAGACGAGAAATCTACTCTCAGGTGTGTTTGGGGGATGGAGGACATATGGAGGGCCTTCCACAAACAACAACATGTGGGAAGGGCCTCTGGTCCTTCCTTTTCATCACTTGCATGTTCCTTGTCCAAGCCCGTGTGATGTTTAGAAGGCTAAGACCTCCTCTTTCAAAGCACCTGCGCCCTCTGGGCAAACACCCACCGGGGCCATTGCCAGTGCTCCTGTGGCCTTGAGCTTTAGCCCCCAGACCCCCACATGCTGACTCTGCCACCGTCCCATCACTTGAACACATGTGAGACAAGGACACAAGCCTCCACTGCCCACGTGACCCCACCACCCTCATCCTTCTGGTCTCAGGGAACTCCCTCGCCTCCTCACGGTCACGCCGCCAAACAGCTAGAAGACATTAGAATTAGAGGTCAAGTTCAGTCATGGCGTAGAACATGACAGCCACCACCCACCCCTGTTTTAATCCAGCCTGATCCACGTCACCTGTGTTTAGGGCTACCCTAGCCAGTGCCCAAGGTGTTCAAATGGCCTCAACACAACCACAGGCACCTCTTCACTGGCCTTCTAGTAGGTGTCACAGAGTCTGGCCTGCTCTGCTTTCCAATTTTCAATGTGCTCAAAAGCCAACTCCAAAATACTCAAGTATTCAACCATAGCCCCTACTGATTTGTTACAGTGGGAAATTAAATACCACTGGAGGCATAGTTGCAAAGGCAGCGTCAATTATTGATGTGATGCTGTGATAATGGTCAAAGCCACGTGCTCTGTCACAGCCAAGATTCACATGCTTTGTCCCCAGAAAGCACCCTGTTTCTTCATGCTCACTGTTTCCGCCTCAGGCAGAATCGCCTTTCCATACCAAACATATTAAGCTGTGTCTCAGAGAACGTGTCCACACTTGGCCAATAGCTTAAGGTTCGGCCCCCAGTGATGTTGGCCATGACGTTCCCTTCTCTCTCCAGGGTGAGGACCAGATAGTCTAGATTCTAGAATCCAGAGTCAATCTCTGTTTCTCAGAATACAGATATTCTAATATGTTTACATGCACACAGAGACATTTACATCCACAGATGTGCACATATACATACATTATGTATCCCACAAATGCACGTAGACACGGGGCCGTAGCATAGGCACGCAGACCTGGGTTCTGTCTCACCACTTACGAGCTCTGTGTCCATTGACCAGTGATGTCACTAAGCATCAGTTTGTTCATCTTTAAGACGGGATAATAATACAGTGATGTTATACATACATTTGACATACTCAATTTCAATTACACAATCTTGCTGTAATATTGTTTAGATCCTTTTTATTTAAAATACCCTGCTCACAAGCCCCCTAACTACTTTATATTTAATGCCCAGCCAAAGTAATGGAGGAAAAATTGTCTGTGTTGGATTTACTGAGAAATGAAATATCTATCTATATATCTATATATCTAGATATAGATAAAGATATAGATATAGATATAGATATAGATATATGCCAAGCATGTTAGTGTCTTTTTAAGGGTCTTTTTGAATATATGAGATCTTTATATATACCCTTGGGCTCTAATGTTACACTACCTCATAACATATTGTTAGAACGATTAAATCAGATAATCCATATAAAGTGTTTAGGTCAATGTCTGACATATGGGAAGCACTTAATAAATACTATTATCATGATTTTTAATTTAGCTTTTATAAAAGAAATTAGTACAGCTTTCAGAGTCAAAGGAGACTTGGTTCTCAATCCACTATGTCCCTTTGTGGTTACATAACCTTGGACAAGTAACTTAAAGTGTCTAGCTATAAAATAAACTACTACTGACCTTAAAGAATTGGATTAAATGAGATATCTACATATGAGCCTGTATATAAAGTTCCTAGTCTAATCATAGGTATTCATTAAATTTAGTTCTTTTCCCTTCTAGTTCTTGTGAGTATGTATGTGTGTGCAGGGGGGTGTTATACATACATTCATATTTGCATATCTAGCTAGCTAGCTATATATATATACATATATATATATATATATATATTACTAGTAAACTGGATTATCTGCTTATACAGGCCAGAAGGAAATCTCAGTTGGAAAAAAGCACAGCTGGAATGCACCATTTTTAAATTCTAAAATCAATATGATTGCCCAAAGAAGAGATGCTATGACTCATCGCGTACTCTCAGCAAGGCTTAATAAGATTAAAGAACTAAAAAATGAATTAACTGATATACAGCATAAATTGGAAGCCACAGTCCTAGAAAACCAACTTTTGAAACAACTTCAGATCAGGCACTTGAAAGCTATAGGAAAATACGAGAATTCACAAAACAATGTACCTCAGATTGTGGTTAAACATCAGAGTGAAGTAAAAAACCTAAGGCAGCTACTTAGGAAATCCAAGGACCAGGAAAGAGCTGTATCCAGGAAACTCAGAGTAACGGACAGCAAATTACTGAAGACGAAAGACGCCTTGCAGGCACTGCAGAAGCTCTCTGAAGACAAACATCTTGCAGAGAGGGAAGAACTTACTCAAAGATTGGCTATTCTTACGACAAAAATGGAGGCAAATGACAGAAAAGTACAGGTCTGTATTTCAGAGGCCTAGAAATGTTAGGGTTCCAGAAATTGAGATCGAGAGGGCGCGCATCCCTCTTGCGCCCGCCTGGTGAAGCCCCGCAGGCCGCCCGACGCTGTTGTCGCCTGCACGGAGCGCGATGGGGAGGCTCAGCACCAGAAAGAAGGGTCCCTTCTGCTGGAGCGAGCCCGTGCTCACTGAGCCCTCGGGCTCCTTATCTGACGGTGACCCTCCTCTAAGACAGCCCGGCTACCAGTGTCGGGTTGGGTTGGGCGAAACCTGCCTTAGAAACTAACCCTCTGCTTCCAACTGTTTATTAAAAGGCGACTTCCCTAAAAACCTAAGGGCACCTCTCTTCAGTCCCTTTCCTTAAACTGTGCCTCACCAGCTTGTCCAGTCACTACCACATAAACATTTCTGGTATTTTAGAAATAGTGACTTTCCCCAGATAATACTCCTGCGAACAGAGATGGGGGAAGGGGCTAAAATAATTGGTGCACGGTTGTCCAAAGCTCGGGGTTTCCATTCAAGGGATGACTTGGGAGACCACCTTGATTATATCAGGAATTCTGCCTATTTTCCGACATTGAGTTTTTGGTCTCTATAGACATAAACATATAAACGGAATTAACTTGCTGTTTAATTCCTCAATACGTGATGGAGAGAGAAGTATTTTCTATGATCTTGAAATAAGAAAATATCAAGTTCATTTCATCCACTTTTTTATCTCAGTTATTTCTTCTTTGGTAAAAGCCTCCTCTGTTTGCGAGGAAAAATCCCTCACATAAAATGCAGATGTGAGCTGCAGACAGTAATGAGGACTCCTTTGCACTGGTGTGAGTAGCATGCCACAGTTCCCTTATTTGGCCTTTTAGGTAGTTAGCATATGCCTGTCATGTAAAAGGAAATGTATTTTTATCTCATCTACATATTTTTACATCTACATGTTTAAGTAGTTCATGTTTCTATATTGATAAAGAAAACCAAAAAGAATCCAAGAACTAATTGACTGTTTCCATATCAGAAGCACTTGGTTGCATGGGAAATTCCTTCTGATTGTAGGACATTTGGTAAGGGCAAAATGTTTGCAGGCCAAAACTTATAGGTACTTTTTTAATGTTAATATTTTATAGGGAGTGAGATTTTTAGTGATTTTAAAAATTTTTTTAGATTACCATATTTCCCACTTTTCTTTAATGAGAAAGTATTAATGTTATAATGGGGAGACCACACCTTATAAAGAAAAAAAAGGAAGAAAGAAAAGGCCTTCGGACTGTCAAAGTCCGAATCAAACAGTCCAGTGAAATAGTTATCATTCCGAAGAGAAGGTGATTGTGTGACAAACAGCAAATCCCGTGTGTAGAGGGTGGTTGTGCTAAATCAGCCCTTTCACTGGCTTAAAATTCATTTGTGGGTGCGGCTCTGTGGGTCCCTATTATATCTTCCAGTCTCAGTTATCAGAATCGCAGCCCACAGTGGTCTGCATGGTGCTGGACAGCCCTGTTGAAAGAGAGGCTTGAGAGATTTTTAAAGAATACAGCAGGTCATCGAATACCACCATTTCCTTCAACATTATTTGCTTGTAACACTGTCGACGAAGACATTGATTCCCGGCTGGGGCCCCATGTCTACCTGGGTTTTGTCCAGGGACTCCTGTTTCCCCCACATCCCAGAGCTGTGCCCATTGAGTGTATCACGTGTCTGCCTTGTCCCAGTCTGACTGGGTGTGGGTGTGTGTAAATGGCCCTGTGATGGAGGGATGTCCTGTCAGGGTGGGTCCCACCCTGTCCCCTGAGCTGCCGGGAGACGTGCTGGCCACCCACCACCCTGAACTGGAATAAGCATGTTGGAAAAGAATTATCTTACTTGTTTTTATTCACATTTCTTAAATGTATGTATAGCTCACACTTATGTCAACGTTTAATATTAGAAGTGTTTTGGATCTTTACTTAGAAGTTTGGTGATGTTTTTATGACCAGATATATGCCGTAGGAGCTTAACTCTAGTTTACAGTTTATATCATAGCCTGGGGACATTGGTTTTATTAAACGTCACTCCACGTCACCGTTTCCAAGAACCTATCCAAGACATTAAGTGAGGACTTACTGTGCACTCTGACAAGTTAGTGGCTACCTCACTTCAACAGAACTGCTTAGGTTTAAAGTATGATGTTGATTATATGTATTAATTTTCAGGATCGGTTCAAAAAAGGTGGGGTTTTTTAGCAAATTCTAAAGTATAAAAACCATCAGGTTCAAACATATGATATATATTCCCTAGAGTTTGGACCTGGGATTTTTTTGGCTTTTTGCATGTGTGTGGTAATATTATGTTTAGTTCTAATCATATGTCCCTTATGCAAGCCATCCACTAAAATTGTATTAAAAATGTATACTTCGCATAAATGTAATTAGTTCCATTGCAATTGAAGTGTTTAATAAAACTATGCTGGTTATAGAAGAGTTGAAATCTGCACTGTTTTCAGAGCTTGGAGAAACAGCTGAGGCTGAACAATAAAGCCTTCCATCAGCAGCTGACCATCGAGGGCCGCAAGACTTCAGCAGCTCAAACAGCTACGAACGCACTCCAGATGGAAGTGAAGCACCTTCGGCAAAAACTTAAGGTACTTATTTTAAAGCAAAATGTAACAAAATTTGTGAAATTCTGCTTCCCAAAATATCAGAGCTACTTATGACTATTATATCTTTTAATTATTTAACTTTGGAAATATGTTTCTCAAGTTACCTTTCTTCCCTACAATCATATGAACAGATCGCGGATCTGAAATTATTAAAATGTGTTAACAGCCTGGTGAATGTGTACTGTAACTAGAAAAATTAAAGCTCTATTCTATTTATTAATAGAACTTCTTGTTATTTTTATTTAATCACATGAAGTAATATTACTGTATTTTGTTAACATTTTAATAGAACCCAAAATAAGTTTTTAAATTTAAAAATTAACATAACATTAAAATATTTACAGTAATTTTAGTGTCCTATAAATTTATTTTAAATCTCACTTGCAAATATGCTTGTGAAACTGTTCTTTAAAGTATGCTTTAGGGGAGAGTTTAAGAGCTTGCTCTCTGGCATATATTGTCAATTTGGCTCAAATAAACTCATAAAAATTCAAAGATAAATAAAAATAAATTAAGTGTGCTTTAAAAATGAAAATTAAATATATTTTTTCAGACTTCTGCTATCTTTATCCCGTCAAGATTTCTAAAATGTCCAACAAGTTGGAAAAGCTAGATAAAACACTTAAGAAATACGATTATAACTCCAAATATATGGTGATAGAAGGAGAACTGACTCTGGGTGGTGAACACACAATATGATATATAGATGATGTATTACAGAATTGTATACCTGAAACCTATGTAACTTTACTAACCACTGTCACCCCAATAAACTTTAATTTAAAAAAAGAAAAGAAATATAGCTCTTTCAGTCCTCAGCTAATAAATCTAAGCTTTATTCTTTAAGACATGAGCTTTGTTATTGCAAGCGGGGAATTCAGATTTCCCAGGAGCCTTGAGAGCGCGCAGGGGCAGGGGGAGGATGTTAGGAGGGGAAGATACAAATTCTCCCTCATAAAGTGGGGAAAAGTTGTTTCTTTCTTTCTCTAGAATCCCAGGAAACTACAGAGAGACGAATATGCCAGAAAATGGACATGACCATAGCAACCACCTTAGAAATTGAGCAGAGGAGGCTTCAAGACCCACTGATCGGGGCAAACACACACACACACACACACACACACATACATATGAAGGCACTATCAGGGAATTTTAAAATATATGTGCTTTCATATGCAGCCATATGCATATGAATAATATGCAGTCATTAAAAGGCAATTTGATAGGAAAAAATGCTTAATAATGAAATACTTAAAGAAAAGAAAGACACAAAATTCTATATACAGTAAGTAAGAGTAAATATACCTTCACATCATGGATTTCTGTGCATCTGTAAGAAGGAATGAGAACTCTATTTAGTAATAGGGAGTATTCATCAGGATATGTTGATAAGTGAAAGAAGGAAGTCAGAGGAAAGTGTGTAGTGTGCTGCTATTATTTAAGAAAAGGAGGCAATACAAATATACCCATATATTTGCTTAAAAGGAAAACAATAGTAGGATAACAATGGAAGTAGGAGAAGAATAGAATAGAAAGGACTGTTACAGAACCTAGATTTCTTGAATATCTTTTTGATAGATTTGAGTTTGGAACCATGTAAATATTTTGCACAATTATTAAGCACAATGAAATGTAAAAAAAAAATGGAAAAGCATTCCCTAAATATTGGAAGTAAAATGAAAAATATGAGACCACTGTGTGTATTCCAGTTGTGACATAATGTCACAGAGAGACACCATTCCAAGTGACTTAAAACGCATTAATTTTACTGCAGATGCCTAGTGAAATACATTCTTGGTGGTAGTGTTGCTGTGTTATTTGGAGCCTGTTGTGTGTATCTTTTGGGATACCGCACATGATGAAATGATGTTGGTGTCATCAAGAACTGGGATTTGGGGGACGGCAAAAAGAAAATACAGAAGAAAGATAAGGCCCAATAAAAATCCAGTAGTCCTGATTGTGAATTGAAGTGAAAGTATGAATTTATAATATCTTTTATTTTTTAAAATACATATTTCCTAATGTGACCAACTCCATAGCAATGCATACCCCGAGTACCCAGAGTCTTCAAATTCCATACCCCACTAAAAACAACCAAGGCACCTTACAAAATTCTATGTCTGGAGTATGAAATGTACTGAATGAGCCTGGGACATTGTCATTCTAAAGCAAGGAAACTATAAAGAACTATTAGTGTGATAGCAAGGAGACTCAGGAGCCATCTAGTATAGATTAGTACTGGCCTGTGATGGAGCAGTCTGAGCATCAGTAACCTAACTGCATGGACTGAAACTTATCAAGTACAGTCATACCTTGGTTTGCGCATAATTCGTTCGGGAAACAAACTATTCGTATTGCAAGACATCGCTCGTTTACCACGTTAAAATGTATTCGAAATGTTTGCTCATCTTGTAGAACACTCGCAAACCAAGTTACTCGCAATCCAAGGTTTTACTGTATATATAAATCCAGCAGTTCATCATGATACTTAAAAAAAAAAAATCTCAGTGATTACTTACCTTTAGAAGATAACAGGGAACCAGCACACTATTTCAAAAACTGGTAACTAGAGGGAGAGAAACAATTATTTTTACCTTTCCTACACTCAGAGTAATCAAATAGTTTGTGAGGAGGGGAGAGCCTCCTTATAAAAGCATTTCAGTTCATAGTGAAGAAGGAATGACAGCATTAGAATATCACTCTTTTGGAACTCCTAATGAACAAATGGGTCTGGGCAATGATCATCAATGGCTGCTAGCATCACAAAAGAGAATCCGTCAGACATGTACATCCTGACTGATGTACTCACCACCACCTGTACCCCCCCCCAAAGCTGTACCTAGATCTCCTTAAACATGTAGACCTAACTACCAATGTAAAAGAAACACAGGAGGCAGGGTAACATGATAAACAACACCTCAGGGATGCAATCAGCAACATCAGACTGTGGGAAACTCTACAACACAAACAACAGTTTCTACAACAAATAAGTAGCAAAAAGAAACAAGAGTTGAGGACTGGAACTTATAGACTAAAAGAGGCTATGAGAAAGACTCAACTAAATAACAACCCAATTCAAAAATGGGCAAAGGGCTTAAATACACATTTCTCCAAAGCAAATATATGAATGGCCAATAAGCACGTGAAAAGATGCTCGACTAATCATTCGAGAAATGCAAATCAAAGCTGCAGTGAGATACCAGCTCATACCCATTAGGGTTGGCAAGGATGTGGAGAAATTTCAGCCCTTATGAACTGTTGGTGAGAATGTAAAGTGGTACAGACACTATGGAAAACAGTATGGCAGTTCCTCAAAAACTTAAAAATGCATATGATCCAGCAATCCTACTTCTAGGTATATACCCAAAAGAATTGAAAACAGGGTCTCAGAGATACTTGTGCACCCATGTTCATAGCAGCAGTATTCACAATAGCTAAAAAGTGGAAGCAACCCAAGTGTCCACAACAAATGAATGGATAAGTGAAAGGTGGTACACACACACACACACACACAGAGTGGAATTTTAGTCTTAAAAAGGAAGGACATTCTGACACCTGCTACAACATAGATGAAGCTGGAGGACATCATGCTGAGTGAAATAAGCCAGTCACAAAAGGACAAATACTGTATGATTCCACTTAGATGAGGTAACTAGAGTGGTCAAATTCACAAAAATACAAAGTGGAATGGAAGTTACCAGGGGACAGTGGGAGAGAGAGAAGGGGGTTTGTTTAATGGTACAGTTTCAGTTTTCCAAGATTAAAAGTGTTATGGCAGCCAGCATGAGCGGCCGTCCAGAAGCCGGCGGCTGATCTGCCTCGCCCGGGAAGAGGGCAGTGATGGTGCCAACATGGGCCAGTGAAGCAGCGTCCTTCACAACTAGACTGAAGAACAAGACGACATCAACTTGTCTGTTCCCCTTCCCCCAATTTCCCAGCACTGTTCCCATCCCCCAATTCCCCAATAAAAATCTTTAAAAAAAAAAAAGTTATGGGAATGGATGGTGGTGGTAGCACGATAATGTCAATATTTAATACCACTGAATTGTACACTTAAAAATGATTAAAATGGTGAATTTTATGTTATGTACATTTTACCACAATAAAAAAAAAGAAAAAATCACCAATGGATTTTATACTTTGAAAGGATGAGTTGTATGGTATATGAATTATATCAATAAAGCTGTAAACAAATTTTAAAAAGATGAAGAGACATTAATCTCAGTGTTTTGGACCTTGTTTGAATCTTGATTCAAACTTTTTAAAAACTTATAGGACATTTGGAAAAATGTGTAACAAACTGGATGTTTGATGATATTAAGGGATTGTTATTGATTTTTTTTTTGGTCAGCATAATGTTGATATTGTGGTTAGGTTATTGCCTGTTACAGATGCATATGAAATATTTACAGATTAAATGATATGATGCTTAGGATTTGCCTCCAAACAATCCACAGAAACCAATGGGTATGAGCTGTTCATTTGCGAAGCCGGTTCTTTGGTTCTGTACCATTCTCTCTACTTTTGTATATTTTTTATATTTTTATAATAAAATTTTTCAAAGGGAAAAAAATAAGAAAAATTATGTTTTGTGCTTTAAGAAGGAGTTGAAATAGATCCAGAAGATGGACTAGGGCCGGCCAAGTGGCGTGTTGGTTAAGAGTTGGCTTGGGAGCGCCAGCTCTGAGCAGCAGGACCCTGGTTCAGATTCCACATGAGGGCCAGTGATGCTGCGCCCTCTATAGCTAAGATGGTGAACAGCAGCTCGACCTGGAGCTGGGCTGCCGTGAGTCACCGGCAACGGTGTAGGCTGCAGTGGGGCTGGCTGGCAGCGGGCGTGCGCTTTCGTGAGATGCTGTAAGCGGCTGTCCAATGGCGGGTGAGCGACTGCCTCACCTGGAAAGAGCGCAATGATAATACCAACATGGGCCAGTGAAGCGACATCTTCCACAGCTAGACTGAGGAACAAAAGGACAGCAACTTGTCTGTTCCCCTTCCTCAATTCCCCAATAAAATCTTTTAAAAAAAAAAGAAGAAGAATTTGGGCTAAAGACACGCTTTTCATCCCTTCCTGGCAAAAGTCATGGAAATGCAGAAAACATATTTTTAAAATGACAACCCCTATCCCCAGAAAGGATACCATGCTTGTGCCAAAAGCACCAAAGAATTTCCGGAAGATGAAAAGCAGGAGTTTTTTGGTTTTGGTTTTGGTTTTTTGTTTTTGTTTGGATTGATCGAAAAAACCAGACAATGACAACACAGGAAAAACTGCTGGGCAGGTAACAGGAACAGGGACAAACCATGCTCAGGATCAAGGCAGGTGACCTGCAGAGCCTGGGGGCAGCCATCCTCAGGTTTGATGCAAGAAACGTCCTCAGACCTGGCAGCACATTGGTCACCTGGGGAGCTGTGAAAACTCCACTTCCCCGCCACACCCAAACCTGTGAACTAGCCTCTCCAGGGGTGACCCAGGCATCGGTGGATCTATTGCAGTCACGAGAGGTAGTTACTTAAACTACATTCACCAGCAGGTAAGTAGGGTATCTAACCTGGGCTACGAAAGACATCGTTCACTCTGGCCTCAACTGCTGGCAATGATGGACTGTGTCCAACTTCCCTCTCTTCAAAAACCCCCTTGGAAGTCATCAGTAAAAGACTCCTAGAGAAAACCAACACACAATAGCAAAGAGAACTAGGGCGAGTCATCAGCAGACAGTAGAGCGCTAGGCGCATTTACTGAAGACGAAAAGTGGGTGCAGGCACGTATGTGGATGGCCCAGAGCAGAAGCCCCAGCAGGAGGTGCTTGGAGAGGCTTCGTCGGCAGTAGGCAGGTATGGAGGGCCTGCAGCGCTGGAGCCCAGGGGACCGTCCCTCAGCTCCCCCTGCCGGCCCTCCGCAAGGCTCACCCAGCATCCCTCAGCCCAGCATTTGCCACCAGGTCAAAAGTCTGTGGCTCCTCCCCTGGAAAGTGAATGAAGTGCTTGAGAAGAAACGGGGCAATTGGTGTGAATGCCGGCGTCCCAGGGTAAAGCCCTTTAAACAGTAAGTCCTGGAATTTGGGAGGCCTCTGAGTGAAGCCTGACAGTCAGCAAGCCCCCCTGACTTACCCAGAGCCAGCAGCCTGCCTTCCCATTCGAGAATGAAACCCACCCAGGAAATGAGCTCCCACACAACACTGCAGATAAACAGCTAATCCAGCCCTTCCTTCTGAATTCTTTCCAGGCAACCAGATCTACGAAAAAAGCACAAGAATAGTAAGAGGAACAGCTGACCCCAATGGGTTTTGCTTAATACCCCAGGACAGAGGACACTGTATCCATAAGAATGTTACGCAAATGGAAAAAAAGCAGAAAACAAGTGAAAATTAAACGATGATTGCCAGCATACAAAATTCAAGAGTTAGAACTTAAAGAAAATCTAGGGATATTGAGAAAATCTCCCAAAAACAGATGAAAAATACATGGAAGAAGTGCTCGTGTTTCATTTTTTCCCCTTATGCTTAGATTTTGTGTTTGTGCGGGGTTTTGTTAAACCAGGCTGTCTAATCACATTTGGAGGGATACCTATTTTAGTGAGTATTGTAATTAGAAAGTTGAATTCTTTTTTTTTTTTTAAAGATTTAATTGGGGAATTGGGGGAGGGGAACAGCATTGGGGAATCAGGGAAGGGGAACAGACAAGTTGCTGTCCTTTTGTTCCTCAGTCTAGTTGTGGAGGATGTCGCTTCACTGGCCCATGTTGGTATTGTGATCATTGCACTTTTCCCGGCTGAGGCAAATTGGTCGCGGCCGTTGGATGGCCGCTCACGGTGGCTCACGGCAGCTCATGAAAGCACCCGCCCGCTGCCGGCCAGCCCCACTGCAGCCTACGCCATCGCTGTCAACTCACGGCAGCCCAGCTCCAGGTCGAGCTGTTGTTCACCATCTTAGCTGTAGAGGGCGCAGCGTCACTAGCCCTCATGTGGGATCCGAACCAGGGCCCTGCTGCTCCGAGCTGGTGTCCCAAACCAACTCTTAACCAGCACGCCACTCGGCCAGCCCTAGAAAGTTGAATTCTTATAAAATGAATTTGAAGGACTGACCTGAAAAAAAAGAAAAACAAAAAAAAAACATGGAAGACATACAGGGAGTATGTTATACGCAGTAATTTAAAACAACAAAAACAAAAAAAACCAATGTGTCATTTCCCACGACTCATACATTAAACCTATAGTTTCTTCCTGCGTTCAGGGTATACTCCTGCCTTCCACCAGTCCTCTTCCACCTGGAAAGAGGAGATCGCCTTGTATGCTCCGTGGTCATCCGTAGTACTGACCCACGGGGAAGAGGAATCAAATCATTAAGGATGTTTTATAATCCTGACTGTTCTAGTTACTGTGGCTGCAAAACATATTACTCCACAGCTTAGTGGCTTCAAAGTGTTAGACTGATGTTGTTCGCGAATCGAGTTTGGGCAGGCTCGTTCATCAGGGATGGTTCAGCTCTGCTGCTTCCGCATCAGCCAAGGTGGTTCAAAGGCTGGGGGCGAGGATAATCTGAAGTGTCACTCACCTGTCTGCAGTTGGTGCCAACTGACAGCGGAGATCTTAGCTGCGGTGTTGGCCGGAAGCCCCTACATGCAGCACAGCCTCTTCATGTAGTGTGGGCTCCCTCACACCGTGTGGCCGGGTTCCAAATGGGGGTTGGAGTAGGGGGAGAGAGGGGTGAGAGGGGAGAGAAAGAGAGAGGGGCTGACTCAGTCACACAGCATCACTCCCGCCTCCATTTGTCAAGAGAGCACAAGGGAAGAGCCCAGCTTCACCTCCTGATAGGAGTCATAAGACTCTGGAAGAGCGTAGGGGACCGGAAATACTGCTGTAGCAATTTGAGGAAAACACCGCCTGTCCCATAAATACTGTCATTAACACTTGAGCTTGGGAGGGTATGGTCCCAAAGATCCAAATACCTATTTCTGTACCGTGAAACTCATTTCAAAGTCAGCCAACACCACATCTAGGCCCTGCCCCACTTCTAGAGTATAAGCCCCGCACGGTCCGGGGATGGATGTCAGCCTTCCGTATCCCAGCTGACATCCAGGCGGCCAGCTTACCCCTGCCAAAGAAGTGGTGTCTGTCAGACGTTGTTCCCTACCCCCCTTTGGGAAGCCATCCATGCTGACCTCAATATGGCTCCACCCGTAACTCAACTCCCCTTTTTAACACTGGCCTGATACCCTCTGAGCTTGTGAGTCGTCTCCCCTACATCCCACAAGCATGCCAATGAGCATTCCCACGTGGGGGTTTCTTTCTTATTGTTCCTCTTGATTACTGGTTGAACTCAGCTCACACCAGGATCCTGGACTGTGCTGTGAATCTGCTGTCTTCCCTTGTGGGCCCAGCTCTGTGCTGGGCACCCAGACTTACACCGTCTTTCCCAGCATGAAGAACTGTCCTTCCTGCCCTTGACCCGGCCATCCCTACACAGGCCACCTCAGTCAGCAGTTGGTCTGCCTCCTTCCTGCTCTCGGCTGCTGAAGTGCACAGACTGAGGATCCAGACCAAACCAAAAGATGTAACTGAATTTTCCAGATAATCAAAACTTGGCCCTTTCTAAACATCAGAATGTTTGTTGTCTCTTCCCCCCCTCACCCCCATCCCCACCACCCACCCCCAACCCTGGGCCCCTTCCTTCTGGGCCTCCTCGCTAATCATACAGAGGGAGTCACCCTTAACTCATATGCCCACCTCCCTTGGACTGGTTTTGACTAAATCTCAGTGGTCTTGAGTCTCACAACCTTGCTTCTTGATGTACATGTAAGAAGTGTTCGGTATTTAATTAAATCTTTTCACCCCCCTCATCAAGTGAGGATTTCAAATCTTTTGTGTTGCCAAGACTTTAAAACGTCGCTAATGAGATTTAAAGCTGCACAATGATGTCTTTGTGGCAGGCTCTACCCACCCTGCGTGTGCTGTCTAAATGCAGCCCTGCCTGGTAGAACATTGTGATGATGGAAACGTCCATCTTCACTGTCCAATACTGTGGTCACCAGTAACATGTAGCTACTGAGCACTTGGAAAGTGGGTAGTGTGACTGAGGACTGAATTCTTAATTTTACTTTAATTCGTTTAAATCACGACGTGACTAGTGGCCACTGTATTGTACCCTGCAAAAGAACAACGAACTTCATGGCACAGGCCCTGAGGACAAAAAAAAGTAAAAGAAACTGGCTCAGAAACGTCTCAAAAATATTGTCCCCATCATAGTAGTTCATCATTCTGTTAAAATGTACTTTTTGATGTCAGGAATCATATGTAATGATATGCCCTATTTCTGTTTCTGCGAGAATTATACATTTTATTCAGAGTATTGAACTTAAATTCCTTTTCAGAAGAAATCAAGGTTGTTCAAAGCAAATATTTATAGAAAAATTGGTATTGTGGTTCTCTTTAGGAAAAGGATCGAGAGCTTGAAATTAAAAACATCTACACTAATCGGATACTTAGAAATTTACATGACAAAGAAGATTATCCCAAAGGTATGTCTTCATTATTTTTGCTCAATATCTATTAAGTATCTAGTCAGATTTTCCCAACTTATAGCGCCAAAATAATGGATATTTTAAAGAATCATTTTATCAGGCACTGGAACACATTTTGTGATTCTAAGGAGAAGAATGAAACTGCTATGGTTGAAACAGCCAGAAAAAAACAGAAATTCTTTCCCGTCTTCTGCTCAGTCCTGCATGTTCTTACTTTTGGAGGAATGAGAGAATGTTTCAGGTTGAAGCAAATGTCTGCCAAATACTGACCTTTCTAAGAATTTCTACTAGCCAGTGCATGGATTTTCAAATCAACTGTATTTAGGTGCAGTTTACCTCACTGCAATGCACCCATTTCAAGTGTGCAAGCCAATGGGTTTTGACAAATGCTCATGCCCATGTAACCACCCATCAAGACAATGACCTTGTCCGTCTCCTCGGAAGCTCCCTCATGCCTCCCGGCAGTCAGTAGGCCCCCTTCCCTGGCCTGAGGTAACCACTGAGTCCCTTCTGTCACAACAGCTTGGTCTGCCTGTCCTAGAATTTCATTTAAGTGGAACCATACGTGGCTTCCCTTTGTGTGTCCAGCATGATGATTTGAGAGTCACCCACGTTGCTGTGCGACCATTAGTTTGTGCCTTTTTATTGCCGAATAGCGTTTCTTCCTCCAAAACAGGATGTGCTTATTTTCTGCCCCACAAGATCTCCCAGCATGACATTCTGCTCGGAAGAGGGACAATAGGAACACTCATCCTTATTTAGTAGAAGTAACTCCGTGTTTACTTTTAAACAAATGTCCTTGCCTTCCTTTATTTGCCTCTGGTTTAATATCCAGAATAACAGCCAGCAGAGATGATGATGATGATGATGAAATCAACCATGGGGTCATTTAAATGGGATAGTACTTCAGGGAAGAGGTCCTCTAGGTTTCACAGCCATGCTCCCAGCCCGGGCCACCTAACCATCTGTGAGCAGGGGCTCCCACACAGGCGACGATGGAGGCACTTGCTGTCACGCAGGGGCTGTCACACAGGCGGCGATGGCGGCGCTTGCTGTCACACAGGGGCTGTCACACAGGCGGCGATGGCGGCGCTTGCTGTCACACTGGCAGGTCTAGTTTTGGATGCCATCTGCAAGCAGGGACAGCCGTGTCCTCCAACAGCAACGCAGACCCACCCTAACGCCTGCTTTCTTTGGACTCTACCACTGTGACCGGCATAACCTTCGTGGCCCCAAAATAAGACAAAACAAGTCAAATGGGGAGGGGAGCTGAAAGTAACGAATATTATACATATACTGAAAACTTTTAGAGAATACCTACTATACCTTGTTTTACTACATTGTAGACTTCTGTGTTATTTTACATTCAAAATCAACATTACTTCCAAATGTAAGATATGTTTCTTATATATAATGTGCCTGTTCTGTAGTTTCTTCAACAAAATCAGTACAAGCAGACAGGAAAAGTGTTTCACTTACGACTATGAGACATCAGGAAACCCAAAAATCGGAAAATGGCCCATGTCTGACAACTAAGGTACAGCAAACTTGAAATCTTGCAATATCTAATTAACATCTTTACAAAAATAAACTAGGCTATAACAGTCACTTGTTCTATACAAAATATGTTTGTATTCATTGAATAGAATACAATTTAAAATCATCTACATACCCCCCAAAAATGTGTTTTGCCGCTTTTCTACATTATAGGGTGAAAAGACAAAAGGAAACACTGGTCAGAAAGAAAAATCGGCTGACATCGTCCAAGCGCTTCCTCACTGTGTTAGTAAGCCACCAAACCAAGAGGATTCCAAGAGAGAATGTGAAAGTAATTTTAACAGCTTTTATAAGTCTTCTTTATTCTTGATTTTTGTAAGTTGTGAATTACCAAATGTGTGTATAAAAGTATACATAAGACACATATAGTTTAAAGAATTATTATAAAACCCAACACTGGGTAGCTCCTACCCTGCTTAGGAAACAGGACATCAGTGTCCCCTAGAACACGCGGTGGGTCCTTCCTGAGCCCATTCCCTCCGTGTCCACCAGAAACAACCACAACCTTCAATTTTCCGCCCATCGCTCCCTTGCTTTGCCCCACAACTCCCTGTCCTTGTATGTGTCCTTAAACAACGTGTGCAGTTTTGAAGCCGTGAGGAGCAAACCCAACACGCTGATAAAGGGCAGCATTGCCACCAGTGAAGACTAACTGCAGACTTCCAGGCAGAGCAAAGCTGAGAGGCTCCAGCTTCAGGTCTCCAACAGAAAGGGGCCGAGTCAGGCCAGGCTCCTGCATCATCCTGAACAAGGGAAGCAGTCCGCCCGGTCCCTCACTGGGCATCTGCAGGTCCGGGTCCAGGAGAGGGCTTCCGGGGGAATGGGCTGCTCAGAGATCCTGCTCTGAGATCACCAGAGCTCACCGCCAGCTCTGGGGAGCAGGTCAGAGCAGAAGGCTTCTGTGAGGTGACCCAGGCTGTAGTGGTGAGCGGGAGGGCGAGCTTCCACCAGGACGGGCCCAGGGCCCGCTCACCTGGCATTCGGAGCCGGGGTCTCAGTAATGCCAGCCCTTAATCCTTAAGGCCCTCTGCCTCTGGGGCACAGCTGTCATTCTGGTATCTCCTTCACACTTCCCTGCAGGTTCCTGTCACCACCCTAGTCTCCTGGGTCTTCTGTTTCCTAAACCATGTCCTCTTCTTTCTTGGTATATGCCATCATGCCTACCAGCTTCTTGAGAATGCGTGCATGTAAGGTAAATTTGTGTACCTTCCATCTGGAAATGTGATTATTCTACCCTTATACTGAATAATTGGCAAGAAAGAAAATTCTAGGTTGGACACCATTTTCCTTCGTGATTTTTAAGACACTCATTGTCTTCATGTTGCATTGTTGCTAAAGGGCAACCTGGATGAAACCCCACACGGCGGGTAGGGAAGGACAGTCCCGTGGGAACACCCCCGTCCAGGAATTTCATCTACCTCACACTTTACCACAACTGTCCAGGGTTCCACAGGCTGCACACGCCATCATTTATTTACCCATGATCCCTCTGACAGACATTTGGGGTGTTTTGCTGTTACTAAACCATGCTGCAGTAAACATCCTCATATTGCGTACCTTTGTGTATTTTTGTAGGGTTTGGTCCTAGAAGTGTGGACTTGAGTCTAAGAGTGTGTTTGCTCAAAATTTTGACAGATACTGCCAAACTGCCATCCAAATAAAGCTATCCCAATGTACACACCCACCAAAGGGGAACAAAAGTTCCAATTTCCCCATATTCTCTCCAGCTTTGGGAATCACTTGCCAACTGGATGGGTAAAAAATAGTCTCATTGCTTTGACTGACTCTACATCCAGCTAGTGGTGTCTGTACATCTATTAATAACTTATTAACAAACTTTAACTCTTTTATGAATATCATTTTTCTTTTGGTTTCTTAAGTCTCATTTATTCGGTACGTTGTAGGAGAATATAACATTTCATGCTTGTTAATAGCACCTTTCCCATACTGTAGTGTTATACACATTTATTTTCTTACCTTTCTTGTCTTTTTAATGTGCTTGTCAGGAGGTGTGAATAAGCATGGTAAACATACATGCCATTCTGAAATAAAAGTTGGTTCATTTTAAAGATCGCTAAATTGAGTATTTTTCTAATATAGATTTATCGAAGGAAGAGGAACATTTGGAAGTACAGCCACCTCTGCAGAATATTGGAAGCCAAAGAGATAAAAAAGAAGATCAAGAAAAGGCAACCACGTTAGCAAAAGAACAGGAAGTATCACCAAAAACAATTCAAGCCATTCATCCTGAAAGGGAAGGCCACCAGGAAAATGATACAGTAAGAGAAAAGTTTAAAAGAAGCCTACAAATAAATGACATGGATGAGGTACCTGATAAAAATGCTGCTCCCAAAACCAAAATACCCGCCAGACAAAGAAAGCATTATTCATTCACAGAAGCGGTTGAAAATTTGCATAATGGTCTTCCCGCTACGGGTGGGCCAGCCAATCACGGTCCCGGCAAATGTAACCAAGGTCCCGGCAAAAATCGGGGAGATGGGGAAGAACTAAAGCCAGAGCACGCTGTTGGTGGGTATGAGCCCTCTTTTAGTAAGCCTTCCAAAACTAAAGCAAAAGATACCACTTTCAGAGAGAAGAAAAGCAGTCTAATGGAAGAACTCTTTGGATCAAGCTGTGTCTTTAAAGACGACCAACCAAGTACTGCTGCCATTAAAGGGTCTGAGGAGACTTTGAAAAGCAAGAGGGTGCATCATCTTCCTCGCAGTCAGGCCTCCGCCACCCATGCTTTTGGGAATTCTAAAGTAACTGCGGTAAATTCTAGTAAGTCATCTTCACCTACAGAAGGAAAAATCAAAATAATTATTTGAATAAAATCAATATTCTAATACATTCTGTTTTGATATTCTGGTTCTTTTGCACCTTTGCTCTCATAATTTTAGTGTGTGTGTGTGTGTGTGTGTGTGTGTGTGTGTGTGTGTGTGTGTTCAGTACTTAAATTGACTGGATATACGGCTTTTATTGCTAATCTAATTTTAAAAACCCATTGTATATTAGACAATGGACAACATTTCAAATACAAAATTACATTTTTCCTACAACTGAAACATGTCCATTATTTTTGGAAGGCTGATTTATTATATGGCTTTAATATTCTATGGAACTCTGTAGCTTGTAAATCTGTTAGTCAAGCCAAGACATACACATCTCATACATGTAAGAATTTTATCAGCAAATTGTGTTCTAACTTAAAAACATGGAGGCAGCTTGGAAAGGGTGATCAGAAGACTCTATTTAAAAAAAAAAAATAGAATAAAAAACTGATCACCACGCTTGGCTTTATGAAAATTATTTTTGTGTTCTCTTATTCAGCTAAACTGGACATCTAATATCCTGCCTTTGTGGGTGACACTTCCCTCGGGTACACCTAAGAGTCAATATTTTTTTATTTATATTTGTTGCACACATGTACCTTGGCTTTTTTCTGTTAATCTTGTTCTTTAACAACAAAGCATATCGGTATAATTAGTATCCACCCAAGTTAGCTGCTCAGTCCTAATTAATATATTAATCTTAGAATATTTTATTTTAGGACTATACAAAGAGGGCCGTACTCCCAATGTTAATCAGTTAACTTATTTTCATTTATTTATAAAAGCAACTTATTTATAATTTAGACAATACTATCCAAAGATATCTATGGGTTGGTGTATAATATTAACACACTTTTAAAAATTGAGACTAGAAAATAAACTTTTAAAAGGTATTAAAGGTCATGGTGGGAAAAGAACTGTATTAAAACCAAAGAGGAGATAAATACTTCAATTTCCATAAACTTTAATCTTTATAAAAACTAAATCTTTTACAATCTTTTTTTTATAAAAACTTTTTTATAAAAGTTTTTATAATCTTTATAGAAACTATGGGGGGGGAAGAGAAGGGAGGCGAGTAGGAGGCGAGACGGAGGGAGGCGAGTTAGAATTCTCATAGGCTTACACAGGGAGATATACAAATGAACAATAAATGACACAATTACCTAGCCCTACATTCTGGAGAAATTAACTAAAAGGATTCCCCGAAATGGTGCAATATTACAACGTCTATTCCCGCTGTACAGCAGGTGGAGGATGTTTCAAGGGATCTTTTCTTATGCTTACCCCACAACAAAAATACAAACCATAACATTAAATCAGAGCTATCTAAAAGTGCTTCTGTAGGCAACTATTTAATAAAAATATAATCTAAGCCTGTTACTTTCCAGTCATCTAATTAAGATTATTTTTTAAATTGTAGCTTAGGAAAAGTTACAGGGTAATAAATGTAAATGCTAACGTTTTATCTCTGAGGAAGGCAATTGTGGCCAATTTTTCATTTATTTTTAGTGTATTTTCTACTGCGATTTTCTATAATGAACATAACTTCATAATCAGGAGAGAAAACTTTTTTAAAATATAGAGATCCATTTCCTGTAGTCTGGTAGACAAGGTACTCTGGCACTCCCACTATAAAAACGCTAAAAGTACTGTATTAACTGTGACAAACATGTTTTTAATCAACTGTTCAGTGATAAACTCTGAGTAAAAGGAGGCACCCAGGAAGGCGGGTAAGCAGAGCTCTGAAGGCAGCTTTTCCTTCAAGGGTATTTGCCAAAACTGGAGAACTGAATATCCGAAAAGAGTCCAGGACAACACGCAGAGGACAAAATCAGTCGGCCCAAGTAGGGGCCTCGTAGAAGGCCCCTCCCACAGAATGTGAGACATCCAGGGCCTCCAGCCTCCACGAGCTAAGCAAGTTTTCTTAAACTCTGCAACTCGGTAGCCAGTCAGCCCTCACAGCCTGAAACCGATTACCTAGATGGTTTCTATAACCTAAAACTGAAGTGTGAAGCCTCCCCAGAGCAGGAGCAATGCAAGTCCTCTCTGGAAGAATCTATCTTTATCCCAGTTCTCAGGAAATTCCCACAGATAAAGAAAAAGAAAAAAAAACCTTAGAGTCCAAAAAAAAATCACAAAACACAAGAAAAGGTGCTAAGAGAACCAAGAGGAACAACAGATATCACGACCAGGGGTCTGCCCCCAGGTCCTGGCACGAAGCTCCTGAAACCTGGTAATTTCCGAAGTGGTAAGATCACTAGGAGCACCTTTAGTTCTAATGTTTGGTCTTTGGCCCCAGTTCCTGGCACAGGGCTCCTGAAACCCTGCTAATTTCCTGGGTGAGGAGTGTCTTTGTTCTGATGAGGTGACTCTGGGAGGCACCTGGGTGGCTCCTAATGACGGCTGGTCACCAGAAAGGACAAGCCACGGTCAGAGGCTGGGGATGTTCAGTGCCACCCCAGAAGGAAGGAGGGCTGAACATGGGGTTGACCAAACGTGCCTACGTGAGGAAGCTGCCGTCAATCCCAGCAGCGTGGGGGTCGGGGAGCTTCCGGGTCGGTGAGCACGCGGGGGACCTGGGAGGTGGCGCTTCCACAGGCCCCACCCTCCCCATGTCTCCATCTGCGTGTTCGTCTGGGTCCTGTGTCACATCTTTTTTCTAGTAAACCAGTAACGGAAGCGTGTTTTCCTAAGTTCTGTGATGCCCTCTACCAAATCAATCGACCTGAGGAGGGGGCCGTGGGAACCTGACTTATGGCCAGTCAGTCAGAAGCACAGGTGACAACCTGAACTGCGACTGGCTTCTGAAGTGTGGCGGGAGCAGTCCTGTGGGGATGAGCCCTTAACCTGCGGGATCTGGCGCTGTCTCCAGGTAGGCAGTGTCAGAAAGGAGTTAAATTGTTGGGTACCCAGCTGGTGTCGCAGAGACTTGCTTGTGATAGGGTAAAACCCCACACATTTGACAGGAAGTGTCAGAAGCCAAGTGTCCTGTGTGTGTGGTAGTAGTGTGAGGAGTAAAGGAGACGCAGGAGAAACAACAGGACGAAAGAACCGTAGGTTTTCCTAAAACAGCAAGAACGGAGGAAAAAGAAAACAGAAAAAGTGGAATAAAAGCACAAGGTAAGACGACATAAATAAACCCAAACATATCAGTAATTTCAATAACTTTAAGTGGACTATACGTTCCAATTAAAAGACAACATAGATTGGATTTTTAAAATACAGCTATGTGCTATTTATACACATATCTAAGCCACTGAGATGCAGGAGGCTAAAGGGTGAGAAAAGGTATGCCAGGCAAATACTAGCCAAACGAAAGCTGGTGTTGCTCTAGAAGTACCTGTAAACAAAATAAAAAAACAAAAGCCCAGACCTGAAGACAAAAATTATTGAGGTAATACAGGCTGCTATGAGGCAATAAACAATTCAATCCCCCAGGATATTCATCCTAAACAGAACATATTTAATGGTAACTTGAAAACATAAAGCAGGGGGCCGCCCGAGTGGTTCAGTTGGCTTGCGAGTGTGAGCTCTGAGCGGCAAGGCCACCGGTTCGATTCCCACATAAAGCAAAAGTTGACAGAACTGCCAATAGACATGATGGTCTGAGGTTTTACATACATGGCCCTAGTGGAAAACCACTGTGTGACATTTTTTAAGTTAAATATTCCTGCGTGCTTACTTAAGACATGCGGTTAGGGGTATAAAAAGCCTAAGGAACAGTCTCTGGCCCTGGCGGCATCACTGTAAAGAAAACCCTTTATCACCAAAGAAATACCGTATTTCTCCATATATAAGACGCACTCTTTTCCGAAAAATTTGGAGTCTAAAAACTGGGTGCGTCTTATACAGTGGTTGTATGAGCACAAAAACAAGCACGAAAAAATCAGGAAATGCAAGTAAAAACATCTACAACCACTGTATAAGACGCACCTAGTTTTTAGATCCCAATTTTTTTTTAAGGTGCGTCTTATACATGGGGAAATACGGTACCTGAAACACTGGGAATGAAACCACACAACAGCAGATGCCACAAAGCAGTTGACAAATAGCCACAGAGATAATACTTACAATATTCAGACACAGAGAAGAAAACAGAATATCTATCATCTAAGGTGCTCAGAGAAGGCTTTATATACAATCTCAAAGGTCCACTAAAATACAAATAGATTGGAAGGGAAGGTCAGCACACGCGTGCACACACACACACAAGCACATACACACAGTCCTCACGCAGAGCTGTGAATGTGTAAGAAAAACCATGGAAAGCTAGTTTGACTAGCATTTCAGCATACTTGTTAACCCCATACAAAAATGATGGTAAAGATTTGTATATAAAAAGATTTCCTTGCTTGATTTACTGTAAGTATAAAGCAAACACTACTGACATGAAGAGAGCCTTAGATATTTTAAATAAAACATATGTCGGGCCGGCCGAGTGGCGCATTGGTTAAGAGTTGGCTTGGGGGCCGGCCGAGTGGCGCGATGGTTAAGAACTGGCTTGGGATGCCAGAGGGCCCCGGTTCGGATCCCACATATGAGGGCCAGTGACACTGCCCTCCACAGCTAAGATGCTGAACAACAGCTCGACCTGGAGCTGGGTTGCCGTGAGTCGCCGGCGACGGCGTAGGCTGCAGCCCCTGTGGCAGTGGGTTGCCATGGGCTACCGTGTGTAGCCAGCAGCCAGCGTGAGCGGTGAGCGGCCAGCAGCCGCAGTGAGCGGCCGTCCAGAAGCCGGCGACTGATCTGCCTCGCCCAGGAAGAGCGCAATGACGGTGCCAACTTGGGCCAGTGAAGCAACATCCTCCACAACTAGATTGAAGAACAAAAATGACAGTAACTTATCTGTTCCCCTTCCCCCAATTCCCCAGTACTGTTCCCATCCCCCCAATTCCCCAATAAAAATCTTTAAAAAAAAAAAAAAAGAGTTGGCTTGGGACACCAGCTCTGAGCAGGATCCCACATGAGAGCCAGTGATGCCGCGCCCTCTACAGCTAAGATGCTGAACAACAGCTCGACCTGGAGCTGGGTTGCCGTGAGTCGCCAGCGATGGCGTAGGCTGCAGCCCCTGTGGCAGTGGGCTGCCGTAAGCTACCGTGAGTGGCCGGCAACCGGCCTGAGCTGCCAAGAGCCGCTGTGAGCAGCCGTCCAGTGGCCGGCAACCAATCTGCCTCAGCCGGGAAGAGCGCAATGATCATACCAACATGGGCCAGTGAAGCAACGTCCTCCACAACTAGACTGAAGAACAAAAGGACGGCAACTTGTCTGCTCCCCTTCCCCGATTCCCCAACGCTGTTCCCCTCCCCCAATTCCCCAATAAAATCTTAAATAAATAAAATCAAACAGAAGTCTATTTATGTAAAGCTATACCCAGTATTTTTAACAGAACACAAACCTGCTATTCATAAATATACACAAACAAGGAAAAGCACCAATGTTAACACCAGCAACCTCAGTTCCACTGGATCATGGGAGACCAGCTTCCTTGTTCCTTTTTTGTACTTTCCAAGTAGGACTTTAAATAAATAAATAAATGCAGCAAACAGTTATTCTTTTCAGTACTACTTTTATAATTTTGAAAGAATTTTATTTTAAAAGCACACACCAATATTCATAAACATATGGAATATCATTGGAAGAATCATAAGAAATTGGTAACAGTGGGAAACTGGAAAATTGGGTGACATAACAGTACAGGGTCAGAAGACATACTTTTCATTGTACCCCTTTCTGTATTGTTGACTTCGGTACCATGTTTACTATCTATTTAAAAACAAATACAGTTTTTGAGAAACCACAATGGTGTGAAACAGGACGGACATTTAACCTACTGAATCTTCACCAACTATTCATGGACATGGAAGGGGTCAATAGCTGTGAACTGTACATCTTGTCCTCTGGCCTCAGCGAGATTTCTCAAAATTCTTACAGTGTTAACTAAAGGAGTAGATCCTTAAGGAGATAAATAAGGGTCTCAGGGAGGCTCTGTGCCGATCAGTGTCCAGAGGATGTCCCTGGGCGCCCTGCACCCACCTACCATTTGTGCCTGCAGCTCCTGAAATGGGTGTCAGGCCTGGGGCCTGTCAGAGACCCCAGACCCTGCAGCTGCCTTGGGCTGTTGTCATCTCCCCCTCAGGCTGGCTTCTCACCCCTCATGGTGAGAATGTACCCTGTGTAGCAGACAAGTCCTCCGTGGTGTCGTCTGCTAAATACGGCTGTTTCCTCTTCTGCATCCTTTCTTAAAGCCACATCAACTCGGTGCCCGGTGAGTCTGAATAAGCAGGGGCACCTGAACCCCACTCTGGGAACGACACACTAAAGCAGCACAGCACTTTGTCTTTCACAGTACAATTAGCAGAAGTAATGAGCTACTTATTAGATCATTAGGGAACACAAGAACACAACCAGGATCTTTTAAACACTGGTCGTGGAATTCGGCTTTACAGCTAAGTGTGGCCCACTCAGTTAACGGCTAAAGCCCTCTGCCATTTGTCACAGTTACAGACTGGTCACAGCAAATAAGTGGCTGTAAGGAAGGAAGTCACACAAGCACTTGCAAAGATTTTAACTAGAAACAGTTGTTTTAAAAAATAGCAGAATTATACTTTATGGGCCAAACATGTATTCATTTAAATTAATTTAATCAGGCTTCCTAGTTTGTTTTTTAACTTTGTCCCATTCAATGGAGCATAAATATTAAATGCTTATAAAATATACTTCATTTGAAATGCTTTAAATACAAAACACACAATTCAAGCACAAAACAATGCATTGTGGTCTCATGAATACATTTACAAAACACAGTAATGAAAGATCAACAGCTTCATATAAGTAGATAACACTACACAAAGGCTCGCCCAACAAATGACATTTTAAACAGAAGAAAAAAGCACAGGCAATGTCAGCTAGTGTTATTCTTCTAGTAATACTGCATGAGATTAAAAAACAAATTTTCAAATCCCAGTAGTGAGATTAAGTTGCTGTCTAATCTGTATTAAAAACAGTATAAAGTTTCTAATGTACTTACGTTATTAGAAAAGTGACTTTCCAACTGGCATTGTGACCTTTATAAGACGCCACAAGTACAAATCACGAGTAACAACATGGAGATGCCCATAATGTCACACATTTCTCATCCCAAATCTGCTGCTATGCTGGCGGGTACGCAGGCGTGACAGACTGACCTTTCTGGCTCAATAACAAGAGTACAAACCGTAATTCTTATAAGAATCTCACATAGAGTCCAAAAACAAACAGGTTCAACAAAAAACTAACCTGTGCACTGTTTCTTAAAAAAAAAAAAAAAAAAGTAAGAATATAAATCAGGTTTGTAACCGAAGTGAAATCCATTTTTAAAAGGGTCATGGCTGTATTCATCTTCTTTTTCAGCTGAAAGGGTGAAGCACAATAGCCACAACTTTGTTACAGACTAAAATCCAACAGGTAATTCCAACACCACCTGAAAATAAGAAACTCCGTAAGCGAGCATGCCAAGCGTTCTGCCCCCGTTCCCCGCCTCTGCCTGCCGTCTCTAACTCAGGGGAAATAAGAGGATTTCCATTCTTTCTGAGCAGTGCTAGCCTAAGACAGAGTTTGTATTTTGTGAGTTCAAATTCATCAGGCTTTGTTGATTCACTGGGCAGCCTTCTCTACTAAGCAGGAATTACACAGAACAGTGAGCACTGGTCAGCACGTCTTTCCTGCCAGAGAGATGTACCTTATTATTTGTTACTAGTAGACTGTAAGACCAACCTGGGAGGTTATTTGGTTTTCCCTTCTCAACAAAGCTTTGTAAGGAGGCAGTGCTTACCCACACCTTTTCGCCCCCTGAGAAAGGAGACAGGGAAGACAGGCTGCAAGGTGACCAATGGCCTGCTGGCTGCCTGGAGAGGCGGCCTGTTACTCCTCCTCCCGGCAACACTCAGAGCCCATCAGCACTGCCTCCTGGTTGTGTCCAGGAAGAGGGCAGGGAAGCGGGTGGGGAGGGGGCGTGGCTAAATTGGAACTCTCTGAAATAGTCATTCCTTTTAACTTAGTAATCCACCTCCAGCATTATCACAGATCACAACCGAAACCTGACTGCAGCGTTGTTCTTGATAGAAAAAAATTAGAACCTAAATAAGTATCTTTTAACAGAAAAATTAGTAAATTATGACATATCCAAATGATGAACAGCTATTCAAAATTCCTTAATAGTTTGTTGCTGTGAGAGAAGGTTTACAATATAAAGTAAAACAGGGCAAAAAATTACATGTGCCAGGTAACCTTAACTACATAAACAGAAAAAAAACTGGAAAAAATATACCACAATGTTAAGAGGAGTTATCGTAGCTAATGAGATTTTTTTTAATTGTTCTTATATTTCTAGTCATTCTACAATAACATATACTACTTCTAACACTCAAAAATAAAAGAATGGCCAATGGCCGTAAGTGCTGTAGTGGCAAGAGGTCCCAGAATGTGGGGACTGGAAGCGGTGTCAGACTCCAGGTATTGGGCTTGGATTCCAGCAGCAGACCTGGGTACAAGTCCAGCTCTGCTACTAACATTTCGGTGACACCACACAAGCTAAGTAGCTTCTCTAGTTCTCGGTCTCTTCCCTGCCGGCCTTGCTCGAGCCTGAGACACAAAGCATTGCTCCCTGGTGAAATGGGCGCTAGGGATGACGTCAAGTTGACCTAATCTTCTACCACATGCTTCTACAGAAGCCTATCCAATTCTTCCAGCATGTTTTCCAGAACACTCTTACCTGCTACTCTAGTAGGAAACGCTACCAGGCGGTCTAGCGGAGTTATCCATTTACTTGGCACCACAGCCACGGGGACAGAATAGTACTTCCAAATGAGCGAGACCATCAGGGCAGCCTGCAAAGACACTGCTGGTGAGTGCAAACGATCCACCAGTCATGCAGCCAATCACAAAGCAAGATGGCAAAACCTGGGGACAAACTAAGGAAACCCTCCACATCAAAGACCTCAAGCCCTGTCAATCCAGTCCTTGCAGCCAACAGCCACCAATAATATATACAGTTGACCCTTGGGCGACGTTGACGTTAGGGATGCTGACCACCCTCACACAGTCAAAAACCCCAGTATAACTTGTGACCCCCCCCCTGCAAAAACTTTACTAATAGTCTACTGTTGACCAGAAGCCTTACCAACATAAACAGTCAATTAACACATATTTTGTATGTTATATGTATTATATACTGCATTCTTAAAGTAAGCTAGAGAAAAGAAAATGTTATTAAGAAAAGGATAAAGAAAATATGTACACATATTTGATGCATTCATCACATAGCTAACTCATAATATTGCTAGGCTACGTGGTTCATCTGCGAGATTTTTCAAATTGCCGCAAATCTCCAAAAAATTTTCCAATATATTTACTGAAAAACATCCACATATAAGTGGACCCACACAGTTCAAACCCATGTTGTTCAAAGGTCAACTGTATTCACTATTAGATTAGCCGGTATATTAACCAAGGTCTCCCATGACACAGGTGTTCTTTTCTCAATGAATATCTCATTTAAGTAGCCAGACTATGCCTACTACGTGTTATGAATGACAAAAGCGATCTTCCATCTGAAAGATCCTTGAAGAGCTAGTTAATTGTCCCATCCACACGCGAGGGTTGGCATTGTGTGCAGAGGTGAGGCCTCTGTAAGTTTAAAGGGAGGGTATAGAAATGATGCTTTCTTTTTCCCTCTTTCCCTAGCAGCAGTCCTTCCATTGTTTCCGTCCCCTCGGTGGCCCTGAATATGCCCCTCAGATGAGACCTAGAAGAGCGCCCCTGGGAAGCCCATCTCGTCTCAGTGGCAGTGCCGCAGGATCAATGTGCTTACTGCACACCACAGCCTGGGCTTTGGGGAGTCGGGCTTGCATCCCTGACCCCAGTAAAGGTCACTTTAAGCGGCACTAGTGAGTCCACTGACTCGGGGCAAAGCAGCAGCAGAAGCAGGAAGTTCCTCAGGAAGCAGGATGAGCAAAACTCCCCCCTCACAGTGAAAAAGCTGTGACTCAGTGAGAACAATGGGTTCCCTGCCTGGAGAGTAGACAGGTACACATCTGCCCACCACGGGAGAAGCAATGGCCGAAATCACTGACCGTCTCAGAAAACAACGTCTAAGTAAGCTCCTGTCTCTTCATCCCCCAGCCTCCCAACCTGCACTGGAACTGAGGCCACATAAAGAACTCCAGAGAAGCTACCGCAGCGTTCATTGGCTTACAAATCGGGTATTTCACAGCTCTAATCAAGACAAAGGCTTTCTGGGCCGGCCAAGTGGCGCACTGGTTAAGCATTGGCTTGGGAGCGTAAGCTCTGAGCAGCAGGACCTCCGGTTCAGATCCCACATGGGCCAGTGACGCTGCGCCCTCTACAGCTAAGATGGTGAACAACAGCTCGACCTGGAGCTGGGCTACTGTGAGTCGCCAGCGATGGCGTAGGCTGCAGCCCCTGCTGCAGTGGGCTGCCGTAAGCGGCCGGCAGCTGGCGTGAGCTATGGTGAGCAGCCGTCCAATGGCCGGCGAGCAACTGCCTCATCCAGGAATAGCACAATGATCCCAATACCAACATGGGCCAGTGAAGCGACGTCCTCCACAGCTAGACTGAAGAACAAAAGGACAGCAACTTGTCTGTTCCCCTTTCCTGATTCCCCAACGCTGTTCCCTTTCCCAATCCCCCAATTTAAAAAAAAACAAAAACAGACAAAGGCTTTCTTTTAGTCTAACGGTGTTCAGTGACGTGCTGGCAAGACAACACAACACAGCAGCTCAAAGTGGATGAGCCTGAGCCCCCAGACCTGGATTCTGGGGGCTGCGTAGTTCTGGAACACAGTCCATTACCAACCTCAATGACCCCAGGTGACACAACAGGACACTTACTTGCAATATGTAGAAGGCAACACTTATAACCCATTTTATCTTGGCCAACTGAGCTGTCCGCGCTTTCACTGAAACAAAAAGCAGGATGAAATGATTATACCAGTCCTGAAAAATGAAGAAAATAGTCAAGTGCACAAAAATGCTATTCCCTCTCACCAAGTATTTTCTAATTATGTATGTAAATACAAAATTGAATTTCTTAAAAGTCACCTACTATCCCAGTATTTAAAATAGAATCACGCACAGATTGTGAGATGTGGCGCTTTAATTCTGAAAACCGTTTAAAGCTATTCATCTAAATCAGAGAGTCTTTTTGCAATGCACTTACCAACAAGACTAAATGTTCTCCCCTGATTTCCCGGTCTACACTGTACATTAATCCATAAAGGGGAGTCTAGTTTGTCTCCGGCCTGGGCAGCCCACCCAGGCCCCTGCCTGTCTTACCAGCCACGGAGACGCTCTCTCACCAGGCACGTTCCCAGCACCCTGGCTGTCCTGTGAAAACTGTCTTCATCACAGCAGACTATTAGGGACGGTGGCAAACATAAAGATTTACGGTAAGACGTGGGCCCTACCCTGAAGTCTATGCTCGGAGAAGGACACTGCTGGGCATTTTCTACACAGTGGATCAAAAGCCCGAGTGGCCACTATGAGATTTTCCTAGGCTTCTCTCAGAACAGTGCTGACTTTGAAAACGACAACCAAACAAGCTGGCTCAGAAGAAACTTCAACAGGATCCTGGATGTTTCTGTGTCCAGAAAGCAAAGGCTCACCAGCAAACAAAGAGAAAGTAATGATTATTACTGGGTTTCTTCTAGACAACTTAAAAGTTTATATCAACATTTAGAACATCCAAGAATCAATGCGTATATTCCACAACTCTTTATATAAAGATTCTCCATGAATCCGCTCTTACGAAGCTTTACATGCTACCACCGGAAACAGTACCATGAGTTTTGAGCTTATCCGTCATCTTGTTGATCTTTCTCTCCAGCCTGGCATATCTGGCAAACTCGTCCATCATGTTGACAGTGGACAGCTCTTGCTTCATATCCTGAATCTCGGCTCTCATCTGAGACTCTTGCTCTGCATCCTTCTGCAGCATCCTGGACATCTGGTGGGGGGACAGCTGGCATCAGTGCCTTTCCACGGAGGTACACATTCTCCCCCAACTCCTCCACCGTCCTATCTGCTGCCTCTTTCAACTGGGCAAGCTGCCCTTTATCTAGATAGCCAGTCTCGGCTGCCTTGTCCTAGGCCTGCTCCCTATATCAACCGCAAAAACAAAAACTCCCTCCAATCTGAATCGTATTCACATTACAGTTTTCCTTTTGCAGACACGGCCATGGATTGCTATGGTTCAAATGTATGTACCTTTCACTATAACTGTAAAATTGTCCTTAGAAAATGAAAACCGTTTCCTCCCCAGAGCTGCCATTCAGGTACAAGGACCAAGCATGTTCTTCCCTCCCTGAAGAATTCAGTCCTAAATTAGATGGGTAGAGCAGGGTAGGGGTGCAGGGAGCCAGTGATGAGCTGGTGGCCCAGCATGGGAACTCAGAGCCCAAGTACAGTGAGGAGGGCATTCCCATAGAGGAAAACCCTGGTGGTGGGAGGTGGGGGGTCAGGGCCAAACGCAGTGATATGGAGGTTTCCATAAAGAGCAGCTGGCATGGAAGTCAGAGTCCGGGCAGGGTGAGGGGTGCATTCGAGATAAGGGGAAGGCACCCTGCCAAGCACGGTGTCATAGCCTAAGGGGGGCAGGAGGGCATCTACCTTGGACAGGGGGCGGCGGAGGAGACAGGAGATTAGTTATGAATGACTGATCAAATAAAGTAAACATACTGGGGATAGTGGGAGCCAGTTTCCTGTCAGTGCTGGGGCGCCACAGTGTATGCAGCTCACAGGAACCCCCACCTGCCCTCTACCGTGTCAGCCCTGGGGCGCTTGCACAGCGCACCCCACTGACCAGGACTCTCTGCAGCACCAGTCCTTGGATGCCTGTGCAGTACGCCTTCCTGCACCCAAAAGAGTGGGCTCTCCAGATGGGCGTCTTTGCCCCCCTCCTGCTCTGGCTAAAGGAAGTCCCGGATTGCCTACTAAATGAACAAGGGCTCTCTTATTGATATGTGTCCTGTTACCAGCTTGAAAAGAAAAAAGAACTCTCAGGAAAATTCCAAGTCAACATCAGGGACTGAGGTGTCCTTATTCAGGCACTCACCCCCATTCCAGTGGGGAGAGGTCCCCTCCCAGGACCCGCAAGGCTTTGCTGGGCTGAGGACTCCAGACGCTTCAGTCTTCCTCAAGGGTCTCAGGCCAGGGGACCAGCTGCCCCACTAGTGGGATGGTGTGCCCCTCCCTTACGTCTAGGCTGCAGCAATAACCTTTTGTGACCCCAGTGGACTAGCTGCAGAGCATGGGTCTGGTGTCGCCTTGGTGAAGGAGCCTGAGAGGATGACAGGTCTCATATATAGCTGCTGCCGTATCCCAAACACACACTCCACTTCCCCCTCTGCTAATGAGAAATTATGCACAATTCATAGAGGAATATAAAACTAACAGCCCCTTTGAGCAATTGAAATTAGTTGTGCATGCCTCCAGCATGAAATGAAATGGGATGGGGTAAATAGGAAGAATGGAAGTGATACTGCAAGAAATATGGACAGAAAACCCACAAAATGGGAGAAAACAAATGCAATCATATATCTAATAAAGAGTTAGTATCCTGGGCCGTCCGAGTGGCGCATTGGTTAAGAGCTGGCTTGGAACACCAGCTCTGAGCAGCAGGGCCCTGTTTCGGATCCCACATGGGGGCCAGTGACGCTGCGCCCTCTACAGCTAAGATGGTGAACAACAGCTCGACCTGGAGCTGGGCTGCCGTGAGTCGCCGGCGACGGCATAGGCTGCAGCCCCTGTTGCAGGGGGTGGCCATGGGGTACGGTGTGTAGCCAGCAGCCAGCGTGAGCGGCCAGTAGCTGCGGTGAGCGGCCGTCCAGAAGCCGGCGACTGATCTGCCTCGCCTGGGAAGGGCACAATGATGGTGCCAATTTGGGCCAGTGAAGCAACGTCCTCCACAACTAGACTGAAGAACAAAAGGACAGCAACTTGTCTGTTCCCCTTCCCCCAATTCCCCAGCGCTGTTCCCCTCCCCCAATTCCCCAATAAAAAATCTTTTAAAAAAAAATAAATAAAAATAATACCAACATGGGCCAGTGAAGCGACGTCCTCCACAACTAGACTGAAGAACAAGAACAAAAGGACAGCAACTTGTCTGTTCCCCTTCCCCGATTCCCCAACGCTGTTCCCCTCCCCTCAATTCCCCAGCACTGTTCCCATCCCCCCAATTCCCCAATAAAATAAAAAAAAAGTAGAATGGTGATTACCGGGAAGAGGGAGAACCGGGAGTTCATGTTTAATGGGTACAGTTTCAGTTTAGGGAGATGGAAAACTTCTGGAGATGGATGGTGGTGAAGGCTGCACAACAATATGAATGGACTTAATGCCACTGAACGGTACACTTAAAAATGGTTAAAATGGTCAATTTTATGTTACCTATATTTTATCACAATTCTTTAAAAAGAAGAAAGATGGGCAGGGGCCAGCCCTTCGAGGGTCTTGTATGCAATGCTACGGACTTGCGACATCCTCTTAAAGACTAGGTGGCATCGGGTAAGATCTGAAGGGGGGTGGGGTCAACAGAGAAGTCCCTATGTCCAAGAATAGGGGGCGTAAGGCCCTAAAACAGAGCTTTACGCAAAACAGGCACTCAACAAATATCTACTGGACAAAAATAAAGAAGTACAAATCCTGCTTAGTCTTAAATACTCCCCACCACTAGCAATTTATGCGCGGAGAAAAAAGCAGGGAGAACGGAGTTTCCCAGGATAATGCTACAACACGTGCACCCAATTATTTTAGTCTCTCTGAGTCTGCCTCTCACTCCCGCTGGGGGCAAACAGAGGGCGCCCTTCCCCAGGGAACAGCTCCCCACGTTTCTCCCACACACCCCATCAGATGTGCCACCCAACCCCCCCATTCATGCTCCAGTAGGCAGACGAGCAGAACTGGGAGCATCACAAACCAAGGTCCCGATCTCCAGCGCGACAGTCACTAGCGGAATGGACTTCTGAGTCGGACCCCTCTGGGAGGTAACGGAAGACGGGATGACACTCGCTTCTCCCAGCAGCCGCGACAGCTGGACCCGAGGTAACGTCCTCAGGCCCTGGCCAAACGCCCCGCAGAGGCAGTGCCACCCAGGGCCCGTCGCTCCTTTGCAGGCAGGGGGCACCACGCAGTACCGGTCTACACCGTCAACGCCCCCGTCCCACCCCCCAGAACGGGGGCTCCTGCGCCCTGAGATCCGTCTCTCCGGGACCTGGCAAAGCCGCCACGACACAAGAGGAAGGCCGAGGCCGTCGGCAAACCCTGGACGCCGTGCCGCGCCAGGCACCGCACCGCCGGCAGCCGAGGGCTGCTCGATGCCTCCCAAGGCCAGGAAACGAGGGCGGGCGGCGGGGCGCACTGAGACCTCCCAGCCGGCCGCTGGCAGCCACGTGTACACGGTTGACCAGACATTTCTCGCTTCAAACACAGACGAGCCCAATCAACTCGCTTCTGCGGCCCGAATGCGGCCCTCACGCGGCCGGCTGGGGGGCCCCGCGTCTACCCACCGGCCCCCGGAAAGCCGAGCAGCCACTTACGAAGGAGGAGAAGGACGGGAGAAGGATCCTGAGGACATTGCACCCAAATACAAAGCAGAGCACCAGCAGCCACGCCCAGCGGTCGGCCTCCGCCGCGCTCATCCCTGACGCTCCCGGCAGCGCGCTCCTCTACGGCAGCTCCAGAGGGACCGCGCCGGCGTGCGCTCTCGCGCCTGCGCAGGGAGGCCTAGCGGGCCGCCGCGGCGCGTCCGCCGCGCCTGCGCACGGCGCCGCCCTAGTAGGAAGGTGGGACCGTCTTTTCCACCCCGACCTGGCTAACTCCTTGGTCTTCCGGGGTTCCGGAGCTTCTCCCACCCACCCCAACGCTCCCGAGGCACCAGTTTTCCAAACTGGTAGTTGGGCTCCTACCGTCTCTCTAGTTCTGTTGGGTCTGCAAATCACTTGTGTTGTTATATAATGAATACTGTCTTTAAATTGACTCACTTTTATTCCTAAATAAGTTTATTTTAAAATAAACCTTTCTAGAACTAGGAAACTGCTGTTATAGTGGCAGGTAAATGGTTTGTAAGCAATTATATGTAAAATAAGTTTACATTTCAAAAATAAACACTGATAAATCTAAACAATTTACAAAACTGAACACCTGAAAAATAATTAAAAAGCACTGTTTACAATCAGCCCGTAATGAAATAGTTAACCTACATTTAGGTTGTTGATGTAAGAAACATCCAAACCTGTAGAGAATTTTAATGAGTTTATTTGAGCCAAACTGGTGACAATTGCTGGGAAGCAAAATCTCAACAAGTTGAGAAAACACTCTGGAGAATGGCAGTTCTGAAGCTTATTTTATACATTAGAATCAAAGGAGGAGAAGTAACGAGGGTTACATGAAATCCATGGGTGGTAGATTAAGGGGGTGGGAGAAAGCAAAGAGGGGGACTCTCTGGGATTGGATAAAAAGTAAAATGGAGAGACACAGCCTCCTTTTACATTGCTGGGTACAGGATGAGTTAATCACATTTACAGCACATAGGGATGGTATTCGGGTGACAAGATAACAATGAGTGGGCTCTGCGGGTCTCATGCTCTGGTGCAGTGGGTTATGCCCTGAGGGATTCTGAAAGGATTACGCTGACATTCCATGGGTGTCATCTTAGATGCAAAAAGACAACAGACAGGCTCACTTAAGGTAAAGAGTGACCTTTGTCAAGGAAGCTACAGGCCTAGGACGTGACTACCTGCCATGAGCTGCTTTCAGTTAGGAATTTTTATGTTGAAACCATCCTGTGTGCTTGATGTCAGTCTCTGAGTTTGTAGGGCCTCCATGCCGGCCTCCCCTGAGCTTGTCAGGTTTAGTATGTGGCCCCTTTCTCATCCACAAGATGAAGATGAGGTGGGTTGGTTTGTTTGTTTATTTGTTAAATTTTATTGAGGAACAGTGTGTTTTTCCAGGACCCATCGGCTCCAAGTCAAGTAGTTGTTTCAATCTAGTTGTGGAGGGCGCATCTCAGTGGCCCATGTGGGGATCGAACCGGCAACCTTTGTGTTATGAACACTGCACTGTAACCAACTGAGCTAACCGGCCGCCCCTGAAGATGAGGTTTTACAGCAAAATAATCCCAATTCATATTTATGTATAGTAATTAAAGCAAAAGATGTCTAGCTGCCTCTTCTGCTATGGTTAGAGTGTGAGAACTAATACCTAATTTAAATGAATCAAGGAGCTGTAATACTACAAATTTCTGTTTCAAGAAAACATATGAAGCGCAGCTATTTAATAGTAGTAGAGTGAATTATTTCCACGGAGGGGCATCTTGGTGCGTAGGTGATGCTGAACTGACCAAAAGACAGGCTTGGAGCCTGCCTCTCCTCCAGGGCCTTCCGTTCAGCTGGACCACCCAAAGCTGCAGCCAGGCTACTGGCTCCTCTACTCACAAGATTTAGAAGAATTTAGAGGGAAAAACAACCTTGTGAAAAGTGAGGGCAGCTCCTCCTCTGCCCTTGCCTTTCAGGCTAAAGAGGAGAGTTTCCCCCCCTGCCCGCCCCCCACTGCTTCCAAACCCCCACCCCACTACCACATACCCCTGTGAGGACAATCACCAACTCCTGGTGAGGCAAGAATTTGACAACAGACACCCGAGAATGTCCTTGGCTGTGCAGCAGTGGTGGGAGAGAACTGGCCTTCAGAGGCAACCCTATTTGTATAACTCAGCTCTCGCCTGTTGCTTCTTTTGGGCAGCTCTCAAAAAGAGCACTAACAATTGAAGGCTGCATTTTTCTACTAACAAGTGGAAAGAAAATATGAAAGCCAAGACATCTCATTATAAATCCGTCTAGATCTAGTAACCAGAGACCTGAGTGACTTAGGGACAGTTACTGAAGGCGGCCAACACGAAATGGGTTCCTCTCCACAGGCACACCCAGATGACAGCATCGAAATGCGAGGTAAGACAAAATGGCCTCAACTAGTCCTAAAACAGTGAAAATAGAGGGGACAAAGAGAAGAGACTCGATTTACTGGGAACTGAATTTACCTATTCTTCGCTTTGCACACTTGGTTTTACTAAATGAAAATGATGGTGGTGGTGGTGGTGGTGGTGCTGGTGGTGGTATCACATACAGGCTTGAATAAACATGCAGACTGACCATCTTTCCACTGGGAACTAGGGGTGCGTCAATATTCAGAGTGAATTAACTAAAATCTGCAGTGTTTGTTTTGGTCACTGGTACAAACTTAGCTCAGGCAGTGAACTTGCATGCACAAATTTTATAGCCATCACATTGTTCATTAGCTGTCAGAGTCCTGGACTTGTCCTATATGTTGGCAGCCTGTTTTAAGATCCAGGACAGCTAGTGATGAATGAAGTATGAGAATCTCTTGGAGACCTGCATTTTGTAGAGCTGAATATATAAGCATTCTTTCTTTTTTCAGTCACAGTTGCCACTCAATGTTATATTAGTTTCAAGTGTCCAACATAGTGGTTAGATATTTACATAATTTATGAAGTGCTCCCCCATTAGTCTGGTACCCACCTGGCACCATACATAGTTATTACAATATTATTGACTATATACCCTGTGCTGTACTTTACATCCCTGTGACTGTTATGTAACTGACAACTTGTACTTCTTAATCCCTTCACCTTTCCCACCCATCCTTTCATGCCCCTCCCCCCAATCTGGCAACCATCAGTTTGTTCTCTATCTATGACTTTGTTTCTGTTTTGATTGTTCATTTATTTTCTTTTTAGATTCTACCTATAAATGAGATCATACTGCATTTGTCTTTTTCAATCTGACTTATTTCACTTAGCATAATACCCTCCAGTCAAGCATTCTGTGTGTGTGTGTGTGTGTGTGTGTGTGTGTGTGTGTGTACGTGTGTCTCTGTGTGTGAGGAGCTAATCAGAAAATATAGCAGATTGGAATTTGAGCTACTTCCCTGTTTTTGGGTTTGTTTTTTTTTATTGAGGAATTGGGGGAGGGGAACAGTGTTGGGGAATTGGGGAAGGGGACCAGCCAAGTTGTTCTTCAATCTTCGTTGTGGAGGGTGCTAATTGCCATCTGGCTTCCCATTGGCAGCTCGTAGCCCCTAAACTCAAGGTGCTGTGTTCAATCTTAGTTGCGGGTGGGCATAGCCACCATCCCATGCGGGAGTCAAACCAGCAGCCTTGCTGTTAAGAGCGCTCGCTCTATCCACTGAGCCATCCAGGCGGCAGCTCAGCTCAAGGTGCTGAGTTCAATCTTAGTTGCGGGTGGGCATAGCCCACCATTGAACAGGCAGTCTTATTGTTACACCAGCTGAGCCATCCTGCCACCTGTTGGCAGCTCAGGAACAGCCCAGCTCGGGCACAGCATCACTGGCCCATGTGGGAATTGAACCGGTGACCCCCATTGCTCAGAGCTCGTGCTCTTAAGCCAACTCTTAACCAACTGAGCCACTCGGCTGGCCCTTCTGTGTTTTTTTTTAACTTGTTAAAAAGCATTTATGCAAAATTTGTTAATGCAAATGTTAAATTATCCTTAAAGACAGCACTGTTAATATTGGTAGGTAGTGGTTGAACAACATTGTGAATATCTTAAATGCCCCTGAATTCTACACTTTAAAATGATTCATTGCATGTTACGTGAATTTCATCTCAATTAAAAAATATATTGCAGGCCGGCCGAGTGGCTCAGTTGGTTAAGAGCTCGCTCAAGAGTGCAAGCTCTCAGCAACAGGGTCACCAGTTCAATTCCCAACAGGTGGCAAGATGGCTCAGCTAAAAAAAAATTTATATATATAAATTATATATATATATATATGTGTGTGTGTGTGTATATATATATATATATATATATATATATATTGCTAGAACCAAATTACCTTTAAAATGTTTTTATTTATTTTAGTTTTTTTGTTATGATAAGCCTTCTGAATATGCAAAATTCAGCATGTTAAAAATTAATCTTATTGTTATTAGTGTAGACTTCATTTAAACCTCAAATTTTCACAAGCTTTGTACTATTTCTCCCAAAATTTATCTCTAAATAAACCTTCCATTAACTTTAAAAAAAATTGCAGACATAGAGAAGTTGCAAAAAGTAAAAATGGTGTCAAGAACACCCAATACCCTTTACTTAGGTTCACCGACTTTAACATTTTACCTCATTTGCTTTATCATGTTCTCTCTCACTCTTTTGGTACATCGCTAACAATAGTCTCTTATATAATCACAGTACATTTATCAACTTCAGTAAAGTTAACATTGATACAATACTTTTATCTATCTGCCATTTGTGTTCTCATTTTGTCAGTTGACCAAATAATGTTTTTTGTAGCATCTTCGCCTCCAATACAAGATCCAGTACAGGGTCAGGTATTACATTTAATTGACTTGCCCTCTTGACCTTCTTTAATTTGAAATATTTTTATAGTCTTTCTTTGACTTATATTAAATTGACTCTTTTTTTAAGATTTTATTGGGGAATTGGGGAAGGGAACATTGTGTTTTTCCTAGACCCATCAGCTCCAAGTCTAATTGTTGTCCTTCATTCGTAGTTGTGGAGGGTGCAGTTCAGCTCCAAGTCCAGTTGCAACTTTCAATCTAGTTGGGGGGGTGGGGGGGTGGCAGGGGTAAAGCCCACCATTCCATATGGGAGTCGAAACGGCAACCTTGTTGTTAGAAGCACATGCTCTCACCAGCTGAGCCATCTGGCTACC